AAAAAAAATTGCATATAATATAGAAAAACTGTGTGAAAGAAATGTTCATCTCGGACTGATAAAAAATGATTACGATATTTTTGGGAAAATTATAATACAAAGGGAAAGAAATATAAAGATTGAATCTTCAGAGGAAACTTTTGAATGTGATGAGAATGTTTATCTTTGTTTGTTAGATGTTGGGCTGATTGTTTGTTTTGCATGAAAACTGATTGAGCCTGTAAAAAATAAAGGACTTTGCTGCTATAAGAATAATATTGAGTTTATCAATAATGAATTCGTTTGTCTGAGATGTGGGTTTGTCGAAGATTGGAAACCAGTGGATGAATTCATTGACTATCACGATAATAAAGATAGATTTCGCAAACAGTATATCAGCGCAAGTACCACATTAGGAGACTAATTATAGCTATAGAAGGTAAGCATAAATTTTAGATACATCCAAATGTTATAGAAAGCGTAAACAGAGTATTTGAAGAGCTTGATAGTATAAAAAATAGGAAGAAAAAGTGGTAAATATAAAATTTATAAGTAAGAAGTTATTCTCTTTGATGGATATCAAAGTGAACATAGAAAAACTCAATCCAAGAGAACATTGAAAAGATATGAAAAGTTCTGGAGACAAGCATTGGTTGAAAAAGGAGAAGAAATTAAGAAGATTCTTACATGAATTTCTTTCTATATTCTTTTTCAAATTTATCAGTTATTGGACACATATCAATTATTATATCATCGAGTACTTTGAGATTGTCCAACAATTTTGTGTTGTTAAATTTAGTGCCTCTCGTGAAGAACTGTATTTCATGCAGAGTTATTTCATATGATATGAAGGCAAACCTAAACATTTCAATTTTTTTTTTTGAAGTTTTTAACTTCTGAGAAGATGTTCAACAATACACCAGCTCATGATATGGTTCCGAGTACAATTGGGTTCAAGATTACACCTCCTACTAAGGTACCTTCAACAACCAAGAAAGCAGATCCAATTGTGCGTGAAAGGTACTGAGTTTTGAGGTATTTATAGGCCCTTTTAAAATGCCTGTATTTTTTGTGACGAACGGTACAATTCTCCTAATTTTTTTTTGTGGTTTCATTCAATGATTTATCAGTGGTTGAAACTGATGATACTTCGTTTCTTAAAACTCATAAATTAATTGGTTAGATTATTTATGCAAGCCTCAATAATGTAAAGTTTGCGAATTCTCTGCCACTAAGTTGGCCATTTTCTGTTGCGAGTGATATACAGTCAGAAGTGATTGTATTTAGCAAGAAAAGTGGTACAAAAAATTGCCATTTCAGTACTGCTTGTATCACCGAGTTTTATAATTTTGATATAATCAGTTAATGCACTATTTTTATCATATTTATATTATCTGAATTCTGTTCAGGAAGGTCCTTTATAATTATCAGAATAACTGATTAAGTATATCCCGGCAGTTTTTACTTTTAAAGTTTTGAAACCTCCACTACGTGAGAGCATTTTGAAATGTCTAATACTTGAAATAATAATAGGAGCACTTTTGAAGTTGACAATTTTGACATTATTGTGATCTAATTCATGTACATATTTATAAATTTCGTGTTTTTTTCGAATCAACATATGTTAATTGACGGCGTGATTGTCATCTGTTGGTGTTGCGATATTAACTATTTCATATGTTTTATGTACAGTATCATTGTTGATAACATAAATTTATTCTGTTGTCTCACGACAAAGTCACCAGATGTAGAACGCAACGTTTCAACTGCTTACTGCAAGTCTTCTTCAGGCGATGGGGACGACTGGTTGCGGCAAAGTATTATATATCTTGGTGGTCTGTTGTGATTGGTGCGATTCGATCCGGCTACTGTTTCCATGTACCATTGTTTCCTCAAGCGTTCGCTGATTTTTCGTGCGTCGTACCACGCTTCCAGTATTTCAGCTCCGTTGTCTCCGTTTATGTTGTTTGGGTTGAGTCTTATGTGAGTTACCTCTTTCACTTTCCTTGTGTACCAATGGCTGTCTCGGTCAATAAGCTTTATTTCGTTCCACAGCGGCTTGTTTCCGGTTCAGTTAGCATGTTCTGGAACCGCGGAATTTTGAGTGCGTGCGAGTCGTATATCCCTGTCGTGTTCTTTCATTCTTTCTTGCATGGGTCGTCCTGTTTTCCGGATGTAGACTTTGCTGCATGAGCATGGTATCTTGTAGACTACGCCATCTTGCTTGTTTGGGTCAGCGGGATCTTTTGGTCTGACCAACCGATATCTTAGCGTGGTGTCGGACTTAAAGACGGTGCGTATTCCTTGTTGCCGTAGGTGGCGGCGGAGGAGTTCTGAGACTCCTTTGATGTATAGCAACACTGCAGTAGACTTGCATTCTGCTGTTTTCCTCTCTGGTGTTGGAAGCCTGGTTTTGGTCACCTTCTGTAAGAAGTACGGAGGGTAGCCGTTGGCGACGAGAAGTGCAGATAGATGTTTCGTCTCCTGGGCTGTTTCTGATGGTTTGGTGCTGATGCGTTTAGTCCGATCATGTAAACGCTTAACAATACCGCGTTTAACTGATTGTAGATGGTGTGAATCATACGCGAGGTCCTGGTCGGTGTGTGTGGGTTTTCTTTATACATCTATGAGTAGTTTACCGTCTGGTTCCCTTGTTACGAGGGTGTCGAGAAAGGTGATCTTGTTGCTATTCTCAGTTTCCATGGTGAAGCGGATAGAGAGGTGTTGTTGGCTGAGGTGACTCAGGAAATTATCCACGTTGTGCTGTTTCGTGACGGTGAGGTTATCATCTACATAGCGCTTGCATATTCTCGGTGGTTCTGGGGCGGTAGCTTCGGTTTGTTCCTCAAATGCTTTCATGTACAGATCGGCAATTACAGCGGAAAACAGGATACCCATCGTTGCTCTTTCTTGTTGGTCGTAGAGTGCTCCGTTGTACTTAAAGTATGTGGATCTCAGAACGAAATTCAGAAGGTCTGCAATTTGGGGAGGTGTGAGCGCTGTGCGATCTGGTAGGCTCGGATCGTTGTTGAGTCTATGTAACGCGGCCTGTACTGTTTCCTCTATAGGGACGTTGTGAATAGCGACTCGACGTCAAAGGATCCGTATCAATACTTTGTCTGTTTGGATGGTCTCTTTGCTGATGATGTTCGCAAATTCTCCTGAGTTCTTCACTGTGTAGTTGGAGTTACCTGTGAGAAGAGACAAAATTCTAGCTAGGTAACCCGATAGGTCGTAAGCAAGGGTGTTGACACAGGACACTATGGGTCTGAGCGATACGTCGGTTTTGTATATTTTTGATACGCTGTAGATTCTGGGTGGTTGCTTCTGCTTCGGCGTGATATCGTTGTATTCGGTCTCCGATAGGTTCTCGCTTCGCTTCAGTTGTAGCAGCTTTTCCGTGGCTTTTCGACTCAAGCGGTCTGTTGAGTCTTTGTTCAGGAGTTTGTACGGTCCGGTCTCGATCAGTGTTGACATCTTGGAGTGGTAGGTTTCCGTGTAGGGGACTACACTCGCTCAGCCTTTGACTCCTGGTAGGATCATGATGGAATGGTCCTGTTTGAGACTTTTTAGCGCATTTCGCATTTTCGTTGTAATGTTAGGCTTGGGTGGCACGGCCTTTTGAAGTACGTTGTTCATGGTTCTTCGGACTGCGTCGGCTTGTTCCGCATCGAGTGGTCTGATGGCTGTTTCATCCTTCGTGATTATTTCTGCGGCCGGGATGTTGGTCGGCGTAACGGCGACGTTTAGTCCTCTCTTGAACAGGGTGGTTTCTGCGTCGCTTAGTGTTCTGGAAAACAGAGTAATGACCCAGTTTGTTTGGTCAATGTCGAGGTTGACTGGCTGGCTGCTTTCTGTTCGAGGAGAAGCTTCTCGAAAATTGTTTCTGTCGCTCTTTAGTGTTGTCAAAGACTCACTGGTGTTGGTACAGATTTGGTCCAGTAGAGTCCTCGCATCTTCCACGGGGAGAGTAGATCTGATATTAATTTCTTTGGATTCGGCTTCCTTCTTCGTGTCTGGTATGGCTCTTCTTGTCAGTCGTATTCGCTCCCTCAGAAATCGCAAGGATGTTAGTTCTGCGGCTTTCCGGGCGCCTTTGGCGGGTATAGGTGGGCGAACTCGTAGGTCTCTTGGGATGATGGTACGCAAGGAAAGTGAAAGCGGCAATTCACAAAAGACTCAACTCAAACAACATAAACAGGGACAACGGAGCCGAAATACCGGAAGCGTGGATGCCTACAATAAGAAAACACCAAAACCAACGACGCACGAAAAATCAGCGAACGCCTGAGGAAACCATGGTACATGGAGACAATAGCCGAATCGAGATGCACCAATCACAACAGACCACCATGAAACACAATGCTTTGCCGCAACCAGTCGACCCCATCGCCTGAAGAAGACTTGCAGTAAGCAGTCGGAACGTTGCGTTCTACATCTAGTGAATTTATTTTTCACATTCATTGCGACCCAATGTGTGCCTGCATCAACTTTGTCATCCAGATTTATCACATAATAGCCCTTTTTGATTGGTTCTTTCAATATCTCATCTCTTGAAAGCATCTTATTAAAGTTCTTCACTTTCGTGCATTTGATCTAGTTCAATGTGTCAAAGTTTGATATCGCTTTATTTACAAAATGGCTCCAAGAACAGGGACTCCATTGAACGGACTATTTTTTTTCTAGCAGCAGCCCTTGTCTCTTTTTTGTTGAAGGTCTTTTTTTTACCTGTACCTCTTCCAACAGTTGCATCTTTCCAACTACCAATGAATGGAGGCGGTCTGTAAAGCATCATTTTGATTGTATACACGATTCTGCAATCCACCATCAGATGCTGATATCAAAGGAGGAGGAGCTCATGGTGCACTTGTACGTGATCTGTTCTGCATGCCTTTTCCTGCCAGCATATTCATCAAATGAGATATACCAATTCTGGCCAATATAGTGCCAATAGTACCACCTCTCTGTGTATTTGTTGATGCTCTTATATCGATCAAGTTGATCTTTTTCATTCTGTGGAATTAAAAAGCCTCCTGTCTGCCCTGCCCAAGTATCTTGTCCATTCCAAAGTTTCCAAGATTTGTCAATGCACCTGTGGCAAGACCAGGTAGCATCTTGGTTGCAAGTTTAGTTGCCATTGGAAGAACTTTAGGCGCAAGAACAATCAGACTACTGAAAAGTGAGCCTCCTTCTTTCACCACACGTCTTATCTGTGCTTTGCTGATCTTTAGATCAACACCTTTTCCTTCTCTTTTGGCTTTCTGAATTTTTTGTACTTGTGTTTTGGTCAGTAATAATTCATCTTGACCATTCAAATAATTTTTTCCCAATCTGAGAATAATGGCTGAATTATTCTTGATAGCTCTCGCAAGATTTTGTTTCTGATCATTGCTCAGTTTAACGGAATGATTGAATAGCTCTGTCATATCTTCCATATATACGTTACATTAATAACATATATGGGCTATGCGTGAAAAATAATCTCATCATACCTTTGTCAATTATTATGAGGTTGTTGATTTATGCTCTCAGTAATGCTTTTCCACTTACCACATCAACAGATAGTTCTTCCTCATGTAGCATCAATGCGTACAGATTATAATCAGAACCTGCAGCCCCACTCAGTGTGTAATCAATGAACCAGGCCGCTGTTGTATTCTGTCGGTAACCACGTCTCCGTTTAATCACATATAAGATAACTAACAACAAACGAATTCAATAGACATCCCTCGCTCGTCGCTCCACGTGTTATATCCTCCTCAGGTCATGTGACCGACACAACATCCCTTCTTTTCTTAGCGAAAAAAAGAAAAACTTAACCTTAAACTAGATCATACAATCAACGCAACTGCAACTATGTCCAGAGTTTTTTTGCTTTTGTTTTTTTTAGCTTTACATAGCTAATGTCTTTATCTCCATTGTTCGCACTGTTTCCCTTTTCTTTTTTCTTTTTTGTTTTTATTATTATTTTTTAAATAACAACAAGGTTCAAACCTGTAACAGGCTACTATCATGTCAGTTTTCTTTCTGGGTTACTCCCATTCACCATAGTGATCTGGGGGATGCCTATCCCGTTGCGGCCTCTGCTCTAATTCATTGTCCTCTTGTAACTCAAACTGATGATCACTGTCAACGCATTGTTCATCTCTGGGGGTAAACTTCTTTACTTCTGTGACGTTCCTCTGGTATTGAACTTTCTCAGGTGACTGTACCACAACACTATTGCCCTTCTTTTCAATGATTTCATAAGGCTCACTTTCAAATTTGGTTGACAACTTGTTTGACTTTTTCTTCTTTAGAAGCACTTGGTTACCAGTCTGAAGGTCATTGAGTTGAGCACCCCTTCGTTCATCTGCATATATCTTCGCTTTTATTTTCTTTTCCCAGTCGCGATCTTGTAGCTCATCATCATTTACGGTAGTTTCGCGCAACTCAGGCATCTTTGCGCGGATCTTTCGACCAAATAATAACTCGGCAGGGGAAACTCCTGTGACGGTGTGCGGCGTTGTTCTGTATGTAGCGAGGTAATGAACGAGCTCTTTCCTCCTATTTTTTCCTTCTGCTTGTGCAATTCTCATGCTCTTGAGTAGGCTTCGGTTTTGACGCTCTTCTTCGTCATTTGCCTGTGCCCATTGTGGCGTAACCTTGCGGTGTAAGATACCATTATCAACAAGAAAATGCTCAAACTCTTCTGACCGGAATTGTGGTCCGTTGTCGCTCGTTATGATTGCTGGCAGGCCATGAACAGCGAATATCGTCTCGAGGCGTGAGATAATCTGGGATGCAGTAACTGACATCAAGATCTCCACTTCATAGTACCTAGAATAATAGTCAATGACAACAAGCAGGTACTCTCCTGTTGGCATCGGTCCCAGGAGATCCAAGGATAAGTCTTGCCATTTGCCAAGCGGCAGCTCAGTAGGCATCAAAGGCTCCTGTGGAGTTGCTTGTCCAACTAACTGACATCCATGACACGACCTTACATATTGTTCAGCGTCTTCGTCGATACCGGGCCACCACACTTTAGTCCTCAGTCTCAGTTTCGTAGCAACAATTCCAACATGTCCTTCGTTTGCAATAGCTAGTACTTGTTGTCTCAGAGTTTGGGAATAACAATGCGAGTTACACGCAAAACGACTTTGCCGATGGCACACAGTTCGTCTTTATTTAACACATTCTTTGTTGTTCCAGACACCTTCACGAATGCATCGCCTTACTTCACTCAGTTCAGCATCACGGTGGGAATGTTCCTCTACTTCTCGTGTTGTCATGGCTTTTGGGGTGGCTGTCTGGGCTATAAACCGTACATATTCTTCTGCAACGTTCCTCGTTTTCTCCTCGTCCAAACTGTGGTAACAGCTCAGTCGAGACAGGGAATCTGCTATGTTCTCGCTACCAGGCTTGTATTCAATGGTGTAATCAAAAACTTGCAAACGCAGTACCCAGCGCTCAATGCGGGCAAGAGGTCTCTACTTCTTTGAGTACAAACATTCCAAAGGCTTGTGATCAGTTACAAGGTGAAACTTGATCCCATATAGGTAAGTGTGGAACCGTTCACAAGCCCATACAATCGCCAGCGCCTCGCGTTCTGTCTGGCTGTATCTTCGTTCTGCATCCGTTAGACTTCGACTAGCATACATAATGACCCTGAACACTCCTTGCTGCTTCTGAGCAAGAACGGCGCCCAAACCCACAGGACTTGCATCAGTGATTACACGAGTCTCAGCATCTTTGTCGTAATATCCAAGAACCTCTGCTCGAGCCAGTTCATTTTTCAGCTTCTGAAATGCTGCTGCTTGCTCTGATCCCCATTGGAACACAACATCCTTCTTTGTCAGTCTTCGCAGTGGCCTTGACAGTGTCGCAAGATTTGGAATAAACCTTCCACTGTAATTTACTAGACTTAAGAATGACTTGACTTCTGAAACCGATTCTGGTTCTCTTGCTTCGACTACTGCCTTCACTTTGCCAGCGGCCACACCCACTCCTCGACTTGACAGGACAAGGCCCATGAATGTCAACTGACTCATGGAGAATTGTCACTTTTCTAAGTTGAGGGTAAGGCCACATTCACGTACACGCATCATCACTTTTCGCAGATGTTCATCATGCTGGTCATGTGTTGCACCACTATAATATCATCTGAGATATTGTGTACCCCTTCAATACCCTACAATGTCTGCTGGATAACCTGCTGGTATTTCTCCGGAGCTGCTGATATCCCAAACATCAATCTTTTATATCGGTATAGACCTTTGTGTGTGATGAATGTGGTAATCTCACGGGATTCTTTAGATAATTCAATTTGATGGTAACCCCATCTTAAGTCCAGCTTGCTGAACACTTTACTATTGTTCATGTCTTGAAGTACTTCATCAATGTCTAGAATGGGGTATCGTTCATGTTCTACCGCACAATTTGCTTGTCTCATGTCTACACAAAGTCTCACTTGCCCCATTGGGTTTTGGGACTACAACTACAGGGCTGACCCACTGAGATGGACTGTTTACTTTCTCAATGATGTCCATGTTCTTCAGTTCGTCTAATTTCTTCTCGATTTTGTCTCTAAGATTGAATGGTGGTCTGCGCAGAGGCTGAACCACAGGTGCCACATTCTCTTTTAACAACTTTATTCTCATTTTCAACTTAAGCTGATATCCTTTTAGCTTTCCTACTCCTGTAAAACAATCTTTGAATTCTTCTACAATGTCACTGCTTACAGAGTTTATGGAACTTCCTATCTGAAGCACTCCAACCTTGATTGCTGAACCTCTCCCCAACAGGGGTTGTCCTGTCCCATCAATAACTACAAACTCTGCCTCACAAACTTTGTCACCCAGGACTACTCTTGCTTGGAAACAACCGATAACTTCTAAAGGCACACTACTCCCATAAGCATACAGCTTCTTTTTGCACCTATAGGATTTGCATTCAATCCTCTGGGATTTTAGCTCCTCCCATGTTCCTTTATCAATCACATTAGTGCTTGCCCCAGAGTCAATAAGCATTCGCACAGAAATCCCTCCAACTAACACATTTATCATCCCACCTGTAGTTCCTGTACCCACAGTGAATGCGTACTCGTCATCGTCGCTCTCAACTCTCAAGTTGTCATCATCAATCGAGTTCACATTCGATCTCCTTTTGTCTAGCACATCTCTTGTAGAAAATCTTTTGTTTCTGGTGACAATTTTGGTTTGGCAAACCTTAGCAAAATGTCCTATCTTGTGACACCTCTGACACTCGGCATTTCTTGCTGGACAACAACTGTCACGACTAAAATGACCTTCTCTGTCACAACGATAACATTTGGCTTTCGTTTCTCTTCCTTTGAACTGGACAGCGGTTTCTCCACGTTCGATACGGTTAACTTGTTGACGATCATCTTCCACACCAGTCATCGTTTTCAAATGAATATCTACTGCCTCAAAAGATCGAGCGATTTCTTGCCCCTTTTCCAGAGTTAGATGGGTTCCCTTTAACAATAGTTCCCGCCGCAAGTCGTCTGATCTGCACCTGTCGATGACCTGAATTGCGAATCGGCTCGCCTGCGTTATCCCAATTGCAATTTTCCGCTTGGTGTCGTAACCGAGTAATAAACTGATCGACCGTCTTTCCTGCCCCCTTTTGAGATTTCTGAAGGCGTGTCTTTCGTATGGCTCATTTAACCGCGCGCTAAAATGGGCATCAAGTGTGCGTAGGGCTTTCTGATATTCGCCAGCGTTGTCTTCACCTACATCTGCCGGCGGTCCTGGATCTTGCAGGGTTTCGAATAATTCTTGCACTTCACTGACAGCACAATGTAACAGCAAACCTTTTTTTCGAGCGCTGTTGGTGATTCCTCTCGCTAAGAGGTAATATTCAAAAGATTTTTTCCACTTTTTCCACCGAGGAGCAACTGAGGTAATCGCGCCTTTACAGTCGAACGGCAAAATTCCTCCAAATTCAACACTTGCCGCTGCCAACATGATTTATGCGAAGGTACTGAACATCCTCGTCGCCAGTGTTGTATTCTGTCCGTAACTACGTCTCTTTAATCACATATAAGATAACTAACAACAAACGAGTTCAATCGACATCCCTCGCTCGTCGCTCCACGTGTCATTACCTCCTCAGGTCATGTGACCGACACAACAGACGCTATCAGCTTATTTTTGGTTGTAAACTTAAATCAGCAAAACTTTTTCAAAACTGGGCATTTGAAAAAGTTTTACCAAATATTAAAAAATATGGAGAGTTCAAAATGTGTGATAATCTAAAAAACAAAATGCTCAGAATAACTAATGAAACTGAATTGCAAGATAAATTTGCTGATTTTATAGGGAAAAATTGCAACAATAAAGTAGTAGTGGTTTCTGCTCGTGGTGAAAATCAAAACGCATTTGAAAAGAGAATACACAGTTATAAATAAGGTTATACAAAAGCTACTCCTGATTTAATTTGGATATATCAACAAAGTTGAAATGGTAATTTGGCCACCGTAACGATTACAAAAGCTGACGTTTCGAGCATTAGCCCTTTGTCGGAGCGAATAGAGGACTTGTAGGTTGTGTGTGCTTTAAAGGCAGAAAATGGAGCTACGTTATTGGTGAGAACATGGCAAGGAGAAAAGCAGGAATAAATAAGTGGAATGAAAAGCGTTCGTTGATCCCTGTGGGATTTAGACAGCCGGTTTGAAAGATGAGCTCATCTTTCAATTTTATTATTAATGTTTTAGAGAAACAGGAAAGTTAACACCTGAATAATATAATTTATCAACAAACGTTTTATCTGTTATTTTGATTCTTTGTGGATTATTCTCTGCTGGATTGAGATGTTTGATATGACACCATCTGAAGCATTCAATGTCTTTGTTCTTCATAGTTATCAAACTCCTTGAAAGCATCAATTCACTTGGGAGTATCATTTATGCAGATCCTTTCATTGGATTGTATTTATCGATTTTAATGAAATGTTTATCAACACTATTTATTGTCCAACCAGTTCCTTGAGAAATCCAATTAAAATTGCTATTAAGAGTTTCGGTGCTTGATAAAACAAGTTTTCTCTCAAGATCGGCATCATGTAATCATAGTATTTGTTAAGCTATTAAAAAATGCACTTTTGAATTAATCTACACCAGCCTTCATTTTAAAAAAGTAATTTTTAAAGTCGCAACGAACTGAATACCTTTCATTTCCAATAAATGACTTCTTAATATATGAAATTCGCTTTCCCTGTTTCTGTCAACTGTTTAATAGCATTATTATCAGCACGAATGTCAATTTCAAATGATATGGTAAAATTCTTCAGTGCGTTATTCTTCAATGAAATGTTAGTTCTAGGTATTGGAACTGGTACATTGACACTTTTGATTGTTCTTGGTTTTGGAACAGGAAGTTTAATATCTTTTTTCTCATATTCTTGAACCAGATTTTATCGGTCTTGGTATTGGAATTGGCTTTTTATATCCGAGTTTATTTAAGTGACTGTTCTGTTTGTACCAAAGCGATTAAATCATCTTTTGATAAATCATCGATATTCGTATTATTCAACATTACTATGTTGCTATATAAATAATTTTTTTCTTGTACGTTTAAACTTTTTTGACCGCCTCTAGTCATCTTTTATGTAAAGTGCCTTCTTTTGAATTGTCGATAAATAAAAAATATCCTGAAAAATCGATAATACCACTTCCAAACAACCAAAAAAATAAAAAAAAAGCTTTATTAAAACATACCAAAAAATGGATTAAAAAATCAAAAATAAAATTGTTTACCGCTCTCAGGGCGCCTAAACAAAAAAAATCCAAAATTTCACTCAGGTCAATTGCTGAGTTGAGGGTCAACAACGATATGTTTATATCTTTAATGAAAAAATTAGAGGAATGAATATGCCATTTCCGGAGCTGTGAGCTAAGACTCCCCATTTTAATAACTACTCAAGTAGAGGTCCGCAGATTTCCCTTTCGTCGAGATCGCACCAAGGACAGTTTCCCTTGTCCCTTTTTTTCAATGGTAGGCACTGAACCTGGTTGAATTCTTCGCCTAGATCCTCCGAAGTGCACAGATCTCTCAAAACAGTCTTCCGAGAAGTGTTCGGAGCAGATCACAAATATTCCGGCAGGATTGAAGATTGCTAGGCGGGTTCGCTCAAATCCCGTTTTTCCCGCTCTGTCCTATTTGCAAGGCTTCAATGCAGAGAAATACCACCAGCATGGTTGCACGATTGCTACAGCCTTGAATTACGTATCGCTTTCTTGTCATTTTTGTGTACGGTTTCGTCAGAACAGAGGAAAGCACTCTGTTATGTTTACATGACATTTCGTCATGTGAAATTTTTGCGTTGAGCCTTTGACGTCACTTCCTCTGAGTCCTGCTGTCAACTTCCGAAACATGGTCAAATGATAGCGGACGCGTAATCACGAATTTAACAGCCTGAAAAAAGATACTTCTGGCGCTCGGACTAAATTGAAATTTGGCAGGGTTGGTGGAAGAGACACGGTAAACATGAAAAGGAGAAAGGAAAAAAAAATGATGTACGAAAATCAGTGATCTTAAGGCGCTTCAACCGTCAACGTGACCCCCTCCCCCACCCCCCTTGAGACCCTCAAACACTCCTATGCTACTTAACTGACGAAAATTAACTAAAGACGCCACGCCAAGCTACTTAAGCATCCTTCGCCATTCAAGAAGAAGTTCTGCACTGAAGAGAAATTGAATTGCCCGGGTCGCAAGTCCGCCCAAGCAGCTTTGAGCCTCGCTTTGTTTGAAGTCGCTCAAATATCCAACGTGGACGGAAAAGTTATCGAGACGTAGTTTCGTGACTCATTGAGACAAGCTCAAATTGCTTCCTTCTTTGGGGTTTCATCACGCACATTGATAATCTATGTAATTCAGGTGTCCTAGCAACTTATGCCCTAACGCTTATGGGAGGCATTTGATTGGCGGTTACTCCCTTCCTGACCTGTCAATCAAACCACAGTGATTTTTCAGTTTCACACTGCTTTTTCAGTTTCACACTAACGCTGCCTGCTTTTGTTGCAACACTTTGGATCTCATCATTCGAGCAGGAGCTCCTGACTACCTTGCTGCCTGCCACTCTGAAGTTACAACCGGTAAGGACACACCAGTAGGATTCGTGTTTCTATTGACAGTCAAATAACCGTGTTTGGTATTAAATGGTGAGGCATGTTACAACTGACAGCACAGAAAGGGTTCCTTGATGCTTACATAGAAAAGTATCATTTAATGTCTTGATTAAACCCTGAAGCTCTGCTATCGCCTTGTTCGCGGTTCCGAAGACAACAGTCCACAACAGACCGTTTTCGAAGCAATGTGCCTCGTCTAATTCTAACGAAGAATTGATCTATGACTTTCCTTGTTGAGCTAATTCATTCATTGCATGGCGGAAGTTGTTTGGCAAATATAGTTAGCAAGAAATGTTCACGTAAATTTCGGCTTTCAAGAATATTAATCATTTGATATTTGGAGAGGGGCTTATCAAAGGGATGGTGATCATTCCATTAACGAAATCACGATTTTCAACTAGTTCTAATCGAGTAGCAGTAAACTGCATTCGTTAGAAAGATTTTCGGTCAATCCAAGCCTTCTATTTAGGGGATAAGATAGGGAGACCACGATCTTCCTTTGCCGGATCCCCTCTCCTTTCAGCGTCTCAAAGGGCATTTGTCTGACAGTAATACTGCTAATGATACTTTGCCCGTTTGATTTAACGTTCTTATTATAGAGTGCACTTTTTAAAAGGTTAGTTTCGAATTGATTTTGCGAGAAAGTCTGGTAACTAGTTTTTAGCACCAGGTCGAGACTGAAGGGAATAGGAGTCGTCTTAACAATACTGACTCCTCCGCGAAAATGAAAGTAGCGGCGAAGCGCGACAAGTTAATTAATTCCAAGATAACATTGCCACGAGTAAAACTACTTCGCCATCCACCTTCACTTAAGGATTGTCTGGTTGGAAAAGATGGCTACGACGAAGACTGTTCGTATAAAAGTCTTGAGGGTTTTCGTTTATTTGTAGACGGTCATGTGGAGGATTTGAAGTACCACGATTTAAGGGATGACGAAACAGATAAACGGAATGGATACTGCAATTTCCAGTTCAGCCATTAGACAGGCCAAAGTCTAAAATCGTGTGTACAATTTCACGTATTCGTCATTTTTCGGTACATCATCCATGAAAAGTTTTTGTTTCAATGCTGGCTTGTTATCGAGTTCGTTTCGAATTGTTTGTTTTATCCGACACATTTTTATCATATTTTACATTTGTTTGTGGTCAATGTCCATTTGACAAATTCGTTATATTTGAATGCCTTTACTCCATTAACTTTGTTTTGTAATTGCGTGACATTGCGTTTCAGTTGGGTCACGATTTTGCGCTTTGATCTTTAAGGTTTCAATTTCGCTTAGCTTTCTTTGTTGTAGTTCGTTTTCTTTGTAGTCCTCGATCAAGTTTTTAGTTATACGTGCCATCGGCGTTGCGGGATCTATATGTAAGTTTTTAAGAATCTGTTTCTATTTTCACACAGCTTGCCTCATATCTTCCCAGCCATTGTTTACTTATGTTTTGTGCACGTTATTAGAGAGTTTTAGATCCACGTTTGTTTCCTATAACGTGTAACCGCAAACCGCTGCAAGTCACGTGACCAGACTCCAGCCGTCACGTTTGCAGTTAGCGGTTCGCGTTTCAACTTTGGGAAAGGCAGTTTAAATAGACTTTAATTTACCATAATCTGGCTCTCAGATGAGCAATATATGGCTTGTATGTTTGCTTATTTAGATGAATAAGTATGTTTATTATTTGGTTAACAAGGATAATATTTATTTGTCATTGCATTACATAGCTTTAATTATAAGCCTGCTAAAATAAGCTATAATATTATATATTATATATTATAATAATTATTATAATTATATATTATATATTATAATATTATAGCTTTAATTATAAGCCTGCTAAAATAAGCTATAATATTATGAATGGAGATCTAAGCAAGCTCTACTAAGCTTTTATAAGAAGATCCCCATCTAATAAAAACTGTAACTTATAGCAGATGGTTTAATTATGAACGTAAGACATTTTGCCGCTTTGCTGATAACATTACGATTTGAAGTTGTATCTCTAGTATAGAATTTAACTATAGTTTTGCAGATAGATTTTAATTAATCTCTTAAATTGTGTATATGATTTTGATTCTTTCAGGTCTTTAGGTAATTCATTCCACATTTTTGCTCCCCTAAACTTCAATGATAATTTCCCATAATTAGTTCTTTTAAATCGATGAATATGTTTGAGGCTGATCGGGTATTGTGACTTTGAAATTTTTCACTTGATATAAAATAACTTCTATAGTAACTTGATAGCTTCTCATTAAAGAATGAGTACATAAAAAGTGCCATTAAGTATATATTTAACTCGTATATATTAAGAATATTTAATGATAAAAATAGTGGCCGGGATTCATTTTTGTAGTGAGCGAATGGCATAATTCTAACTATCTTTTTTTGTATCATAAATAATGGCTTGAGTCTAGTTGGATAAGTACTTGACCAACTGACATTACAATATGTTAAATAAGGGTACACCATAGTGTAATAGATTGCCTGTAGTGTTCTAAGGATAAGTAATGTCTTGCCTTAGCTATCATAGCTGTCATCTTTGATATTTTTGTTACAACATGGTTGACGTGGTGCTAGCTTCCATGTTAGCTCATCATCAATGTATAGACCTAAGAATTTTGTGTATTTTACTTGGTCGATGTCTTGATCATTCAATTTAATTTTAACACTTAGTTTAGTTTTTTTGCCCTTGGATTTAAAAACAATAAAATGCGTTTTCTTGATATTTAAAGCGAGTTTATTTGCTGAAGCCAGGATGAAATTTTTTGGAGTTCACAGTTCATGGTATCTTGTAAATAAACTAGATTTTTATGACTGAGAAATAGATTTGTATCATCTGTAAATAAAATAACCGATAGTATTTGTGAGCACCTTACAATATCATTTATGTATATAAGGAAAAGAAGAGGCCCCAAAACAGATCCCTGAGGCACACCACACTTAATTGTTAAACTTTTTGATTTCTGTGACTTGAATTTAACTATCTTTTTTCTGTTTGAGAGGTAATTTTTGAGCCACTCTAGGGTAATTCCTCTTATTCCATAATGCTCTAGTTTCTCAAGTAATATTTTATGGTTTACTGTATTGAATGCCTTTGCAAGATCTAAAAATACTCCAGTTGTGTATTCACTGTTGTCTATCGCTTGCAATATCTTGTTTGTAAGCTCTATTGAATGTTGAATGTTTTTTTCGAAAACCATATTGGTTCTTGACTAACGTGTTCTGATTTTCTAAATATTTCAATAATCTTTTATACATAACTTTCTCTAGAATTCTAGTAAAACAAGGATGTTTCAGGTTGGTCAACTCCCTCGGCGCTTTTCTTCTTTTTATTCGAAAGTTCTCACGTATGTCCCGCAAATATATGTCAATTGAGGTATTTTCTTTCTGGCCCATGTGTTTGGGACGGTAGAAAACCAAACTTTAAACCACATTTTGTGTTTGCAATGAAGGACTTTCATCCTGTCGGTAATTCAAGATGGCGGCGCACATTTTACTTTTGTTTTGATAGAGATGTGTAATGGTACTTCCGATTTTGGGGCCAGCGAACATTTCTGTGCCGGTTTTTGTATATTCGAAATCGAATGGAACCCTAGCATGTAAAAAAAATCGCTGTTTTTCTTGATTTTTCTCAAGTATGCCTCCATTTTGTTGGCCGCTTGTGGAACAAGAATTACATTTGGCGAGAGAAACAAATTGTCACAGACCCGAAAAACCGGCCGAGTGGGACAAAATTGCTCAGAGACTCAGTGAAGCCTTCAGTGATGGTGAAAAGTTTGTTAAACTGAAGGGAAGAGGTTGCAGGGAGCGAATGAAGCGCCTGCTTCAAAAACGTAGGGCCGAAGATCTAAGACCTTGTTTATATTCCCTAAAATATCCGACCTCGATTTAAAACTGAAAATCTCGAAACTTCTAACTCCTACTTTCAAACGGCTAACTGCGGTTTGAGGTTCGCGGTTAACACACCAAACGTGAATCTAAAACTCTCTATTTAGCGATGTCGCGCACTCCTGGTCGCGTGGAAATTTTCTATGTAATTTAAGTATTCTTTTATTTTGATATCGGGGTAAGCTCATTTGGTACGTTTTGGTCTAGTTCGTTTGTTATTGCGTCTTATTTTCATTGTATTTAGTTTGTTAGTTGCCACGCGTGTTCTTACACTAGTTCCTCTTAATTTACTGATTTCAGTTTGCGAGACAATAGACGCATTCATTAAAGATCAGTGGTTAAATTGTTTTTACACGCCGAGATGGCACAAAACTTTACTTTCCACCCACAGTCACTCCCATCTGCCTTCAAAATAAGCTTGTATTCCCCTCAGCCTCGACTTGGTACTCATAATTAGTTATCAGACTCTTTCACAGAAACAATTTAAAACTAGCCTATAGGGTAATAGGCGAGCGCTATTCTTATTCATAGTATTTCATTTACGTTGTGACGTAGCTGATTGATTTGTACAGCTCTCATTTCCAATGCTATTCCATCTGAATCACTCTCTGGGGTGAAATTTTTCTAAGAAATGTACCATTTCTTAAAGACCTTCTGTGGCAGTTGTATGACGCGTTTTATAGGCTTTATTTTGGAGCGTTGGTGATAGTTTTCTTGGAAATGAGGCACTCCCAAAAGACTTTGTAGTGCAGTTGTATGACATGTTCTATAACCTTTATTATTACATCGCTCGCAGCGACCGTGGATAAGATGAAACGAATCCTGTGATTCTGATGTGTTCTTGCCTGCTCAGGATTGCCCGCATTGATCCCACGCATGAAAAAAAATAAAATTAGAATTACGTTTGTAATTCTTGGATAACACAAACAGCGGCAGAAGATAGTCAAAACTGAGGAAACAGAAACGACCCTCGCGAGTTTGGTGTGCTACAAACACAGGTGGCTTTCTTTCCCGGCTCTCGAAGTAAACAAGTAATTTTTATTTCTTAATAAAGCAAATATTTTTGCAATATGATGAGTCCTTCATTAACCAAGCTTGTTCGGTCAAAATGGCTGGATATTACTTCATTCTTTTTTTCGCATTTTTATGGACCTCGACTTCGTCTCAGTCCATAAAAATGCAAAAAAACAACTCGGCTAATATCCATCCATCTTGACCTCATGCTTGGTTAATAACGCTTACTTCTTGAGCGTTCGTGATGGAAGCACTCTTCTTGGTTCTAAAATTTAAGGGCATGGCACCTACGACACAATTTGCGAATGATGCATTGTATTATGCCAAGTATCTGATTAACGTGATAATTAAAATATGACAAAAAAAAGCAAGCGCCACGCTAAGCAACTTAAGCATCCTGTTTACCTTGCAACAGTTACCTTTGTTATTCACGCTGAAGCTCTTTACAGAACATAATCTTAATGTTATGTCTAGGGCTGTCTGGTTTTGAAGCCCGCTCGCGTGGCTTTGAGCCTGACCTTGTTTAAAGTTGCTCGAATTTCCACCTTGCCTGCACAAATAAAACAGGATAAATAAATAAATGATGGAAAAAAACTACAAGGCTACAACCCTTTTCAGACTCTTAGTTTCGAGACTCATTGAGACAAAGAGTCAGGTCTGCGCGATGTTTCGTACTGAAAATATTCGAAGAAATATTTTACTTTATCTCTGAGGCTTTGTAAGGAGACGTCATATTTGTGTCCCTCTGAGGGACGGAAGCTAACGAAAGGATATGTCATCGAGTTTTGCTATAGAAAACCTGTAGTAGTGTCCTGAGGGCTAGCAAACATCTATATGAGTACCTGTTCTCATAAAATGACTGTTGAGATCGCGAAATGTTAGCTGATAAGTAACTTTTTTTAACCTACGTGACAGCCTTCTCGACCACCATTTTAATATCGTGTCACGCAAAAGCGTAGTAAATCGCGAAACGAAAAACCCTATCAAACTGGAAATTTGCAAACGGATAATGTTTTCAGTTGTTCTATTAAATAACTAAACTAAAATCTCAAAAGGATTGATAATCCCCAACTTTTAATATTGATGACGTCACGTGAAAACCAAGATGAAAACGTGACTGGCCATTTGTTTACTCTTCTGGTGGGTTTTCCTCCTATTTGTTTGGTGACTAAGCAAATATTAATATGTGAAAATCAGTGTGTGTTTCTCAACGTTCCAAATAACTTCTAACACTCCGAATCGACGAATTCTTCCCTTATTTTTGGTTCAACTGCTTTCCAATTTATCCATGAGCTGGCTCACAGGAGTCTTTTATTTTGACAGGACGGTCGATTTAGGAGAGATGATAGCACAGGAAGGCTCGATTAAGGACGATTTGAGAAGCCTTTGAAGCATGCAAAGCCTGGCCGATTGTTTAAGAGATTATTTAAAAAATTCCATGTTATTCGTTCCTAAGGGACTCGGTCACGGCATTTGAGTTTTTTTTATATAGTTTTATATGGGTTATTGACCAAGCATTCTTAGGTCAAGATGGCTGGATATTGGCTGGACTCTCTTTTTGTGTTTTTATGGACCGAAGAGAAGTCGAGGTCCATAAAAACGCAAAAAATGAAAATCGAGGCTAATGTCCAGCCATTTTGATCAAACAAGCTTAGTCAATGAAGAAATTATTAGAGAGCAATAAGATTTTGTTCTAATAAGAATAAAGAATGACTTGTTTACTTCGAGAACCGGGAAGAATAACAATTGTATTTGTAGCACAATAGACCCAAGTGAGTCCTTTCTGTTTTCTTTGTTTTGAGTGTCTTCTGCCGCTTTTTAGGACTTCATCACCGACACTGTCCAAAAGTTACGAACATTTTAAGTCCACCCAAGCACTTTTTCCCTTGCGCGGGATCGAAGCGGTCAATCCCGAGGACCTGTAATAAGAATTGTTAACTAATAGAGCACCTACTAAGTCTCCCGACTTTTCTCTGCACTGCAAAAACACAAGACAAGACATAGAAAAATATTTACAAGAGATCTTTAGATCTTCACTTTGGTGGCTATAATTTGTTTACCATTAATATTTTTACGGCTAACGGCAAAATGTTTGCCCTGTTTTAAGGCTAACAGTTAACCCTGTAGAAATCCTCATAGATTCTCTTTCATATCTACAGGTGAGAATTCACGATGACGACAAAAATAGCAGTTAAGGACGCGGCTAAGCGACTGGGGAGAGTTTTGCTGAAGAACGAACCAAACTGGATTACTGGAGATTTAGGGAACTACGTGGACGATACACTCAAAAGCCAATTCCCTGCAGTGGCTTCGTGTGCAGCCCGCACGTGCGATGAGGTCAAAACTTTTAAGACTAAAGAAGAGCAAGGACCTGTTCAACAAAGCGACCTTTTAAAACCACTGTTGATGGATATCGCTCAAGAGGGCCTAAATTACGCTTTCCAAAAATGGATCCAGAAAAAGGAGAACCCTGAGAGGCATTCAAAGACGAAAAATCCGAAGAAAGTGATTGTGGTTGGAACCGGAATGGCTGGGCTAGTGGCTGCATTTGAGCTGGCGCAAGTTGGACACGACGCGATAGTATTAGAAAGCCAGACGCGAGTAGGAGGCAGAGTTCACACCCTTGGGGAAAAGGATGGTTTTGCAAAGGGACTCCACGGTGAGGGTAAGTATTGTGTACTGTAGTTGATTGATGGAGACCAACGTGGCTTTATTCTTCCTGTCTACTATATCCGTAATAACTGCTTTCGTAATCCTTTTGCATTTCTATTAATTTTATTTGCAGCTGGTGCCATGAGGTTACCATGTCTCCCTGACGCGAAGACCAAGACCCATTTCCTGACAGATTTTTATGCTTCTCAGAAGCGGTTCAATCTACCCTTGGCAGATTTTACCAACTATAGTGAAAAAGCTTTTCTCAAGTTTTATAACGAAGACGCTGTTCGTATAGAAGGTGAGCTTTATGATACATAAGTAAAATCTTCTGGTTAATGTTTGAAAGCGTCAAATGCCTTCCCTCGAGGTCAGATGTAGCTCAGGGTAGCCCTGCAGTTTAGCACGTTTATATCCCTGAGAGTGAAACTGAGTTTCAGAATTTGGGCTTGATGTTCTGAAGAGCAGTGGTCTGACCTCACAACACGACGCTGATTGGTAGATTTTTAAACGAAACAGTTACACTTACACCATTTAGTAGGTATGCAGCACAAAAACTGTTATATTTTGGAATGAAATGCTCACCATTTAAACACGTGGGTGAGGTAAGGCACCGAGAGAGGAAAGGGTCTTTATGACAATGTTCCCCTCTTAGTCAGGGGTAGTCCTGTGGTTAAGCAAGTCTATTTCGTTAAGAGTGAAATTCAGTTTCTAGAATTTGGGGCTCAATAAACTGAAGTGTAATGGCCTGGTTTAACAACAGGTCGCCCGCTTACAGCTAAAGGTAATTTCTAATTTGTGTATGCAACAGAATGGAATAAAGATCCGTTGACCTGGACGAACAAACTTTGGCTTGGATGGGATGCTACCCTGAAAAAAACCGGAGTGAAGGACATCATGAGTATAGGTAAGATTAAAGGGCTGAAGCTGTCTAAGGTGGTTGTAAAGTTCATTTTTGCCATGCACCATTAGTGTTGAGGCTATTCCTCAACAAGGTTTTATGTTTAGTCCGTTCCGTTCCTGATTTTTTTGTATGTCACGTTGACCACAATCCTTCAATAGTGATTTTAGTCGCTATCCTTTTTCGCACGTGGTGAGACGCTTGTAAAAGTTTAGGTACGTAAAACTGTTCCTTTTCTTTCGCTTACCGCCCGTCATCATGTGGTTTTTACGGCTCCCCGAGTCTCGTAATCTTTGATGGAAGGCGACCGGATCGTTTTGTAATTATTGGTATTCTTCGCCGTCATTAAACTCGTTGGTCGAAGCGCTGTTTTGTTATTATTCGACATCTTCGCCACTTTATGTGTCGGACCCGGATATTGTTGTAAGAAACAACATGTTTGTCATCGCTTCCTGCTGTGGAATTTGTGCCTATTTACGCTGTATATGACCTCAACTGGAGAATCGCCGTTTCATCAAAGAAAACCGCCGTTGTTCAATATTTGTGTCATGTCGCCACGTGGAATCACAGGCGGCCCAGGCTCTGTCACAGGCTCTTTCGCAGTGGACCATTATAGAGTTTGTATGGTGGTTTAGTTGGACTTGCGTTTGAGCTCCGCAAATATAAAGTTGTGTGAAATAATCAAAGAAATAGTCTCACCTTCATACAGAGTAGTCTGTGCTGTTCCTGTCGCGATTTGAGGCCGTTTTGCTGTGTTTTAACTTCCTACCACTACCAAATAAAAGGGGAGGTAGGAAAGCTCTGTCTCACACACGCTCGCCAAAATCGCTCGAAAAACACACTTCCATACTTCCCCTTGAATCGAAACTTGGGAGCACGAAAGCCAAATAGTTACCGTTGGAGCGAGCTTTGGGTGTGTACCGGGATGCACAGTCTGGCATTTTCAAGTTTAAAGCTCTGCAGGCAGAAAAACCGTCCACCAAGCGAGGGGTGCTTTCGATCGTAAGTTCTTTGTTTGATCCACTAGGATTCCTTTCACCCTTTGTGTTTTCTGCCAAGCTTGTGCTGCAGGAACTCTGGAGAGATAAACTCCCTTGGGATCAGCAAGTTCCAGAACCTTACCTCTCACAATGGCAACGTTGGCTGGCTGAACTACCACATGTTATCGCCATTGATACCCCAAGGTGTTACAAGACTCAGTCATTTCACAACACATCGACTGTCCAGCTTCATAACTTTGACGACGCATCCAGACGCGGTTACGCACCAGTTTCATATTTGAGTTTCGTCAATGAAAAAATAGGGATTCATTGTTCCTTTGTCAAGAAAAAAACCCGCAATGCTCCCATTAGGGAGTGGACTATCCCTCGTCTTGAACTTCAAGCCGTAATATTAGCAGCCCGTCTGAGCAAGATAATATTGAAGGAACTCGATCTACCAGTAGATTAAACCTTCTTCTGGTCCGACTCAATGGCATCTTTACAGTACATCAAGAATGAAACAAGGCGTTTTCAAACCTTTGTCGCCAACAGTGCCACCGAAATCCTTGAAACAAGTCTTCTAGAGCAATGGCATCAAATTCCCGGTGTCATAAACCCTGGTGATGATGATTCACGAGGTGTTAGTGCTCAATATTTTCACGTTGAATGTCGCTGGTGGTTAAGTCCAAAATTCCTTTGGGAACCTGAATGTGCGTGCCAAGTGTGCTAGTAAAGGATCTCCAAGATGACGACGTGGAACTACGGAAGTCACCAACTGTTATGCTCGTCTCACATGTACTGCAGATTGACACCTTGCTGCAGCGCTATTCATCGTGGTCCCACTTACTGAGAGTAATGTCGTGGGTGCTTCGTTTCGTAAAGAGAGTTCGAAATGAAACTCCAGAGTATCCTAAGTCAAGTACACTCAAGCTGGTAGAATTGCAGCAATCAAGTCGAGAAATTGTGCGGTTAGTTCAGCGAAGACATTTGCTAGAGGAGTACTTGTGTGTGAAAGAAGGCAGACAAGTGAAACGTCACAGCAAGTTACCTAATCTCAGTCCAATCTTGATTGACAATGTTATACGCGTGGGAGGTAGAATTCATCGCGCGCCAATCGCCTTTGAGGCCGCACACCCAATGATCCTTCCAAAGTACCTTCACGTTTCTGTGTTACTAGTTCGCTACTACCACCATGTACTGGGCCATGCAGGCCGCGAACATGTATTATCCGTAATCCGTCAGCGTTTCTGGATCATGAGGGGAAGAGCTCTCGCACGCCGCGTTCGGGGTAGTTGTGTGAGCTGCCGCAGACGTAACTCGCATCCTCTTCAAGTTATGGCTGATCCTCCCAAAGAGAAGCTAGTACCTTACCAGCCTCCGTTCACATTCACAGGTCTGGATTTTTTCGGACCGTTTTACGTGAAGCGAGGTCGCAGTGCAGGGAAAGTGTATGGCTGCATATTCGTGTGCTTCAATAGCCGAACAGTACATATTGAAGCTTTCGTTCGATTCATCTCAGTGCGTGATCGCCCAAAGGAGATATGGTCGGAAAATGGCACAAATTTTACTGGTGTTCAGAAGGAACTTCGCCTGTCGGTTCAAAATCTGAACGAAAAAACGGATCAGGAGTGACTTACATTCTCGTGAGGTAGAATGGTACAGCTGTAAACTACCAGAGTGGCGTTTTCAACCTCGTGCCGCAGGCCACATGTCAGGAGTTTGGGAAAGGCTCAGTAGAAGTGTTAGGAAAGTTATGAAGGCTGTTCTCGGTAGTCAGGGTGCGGTGGTTAGTTTGGAAACGTTGCGTACAGTATTTGCTGAAGTCACATCAATCTTGAACAGTCGTCCTATTTGTCCTTCCAGTGACGATCCAAGTGATTTATAGCCGCGAACTCCAAATAATCTTCTGCTACAATGCCGAAACCTATTTGTATCTGCTTGAGTTTTCGCTGAAAGGGACTTGTACTCCCGTAAACAATGGAGACACGCTCAGTTCATTGCTGATTGTTTCTGGTCTCGTTAATATCTAGAATATGTTCCAACATTACAGCAGCGCAACAAGGGGTTACTGAACAAACGGAACTTAGCAGTTACCGACGTGTTCCTTGTTGTGGACAATACCGTGCCCAGGTGCCACTGGTTGTTAGGTCGTGTAACAAGGGTTTTTCCGGGTGAAGACTTATGTGTACGCACAGTAGAAGTGGAGACGAAGAGCTCGAGACTTGTTCGACCCGTGACGAAGTTGTGTCTTCTTGAAGAGGCAGTATAATAAACCAAGAGAAGATCTGAACGCTGTGAACATTGACCTACCAAAACATTGAACACTGAACACTTAGGTTGATTTCATATTTCTTAACTGTTAGCTTTTCTCAGCCCTATTCCCCAGGATGTTGAGGCTATTCCTCCACAAGGTTTTATGTTTTAGTCCGGTCCGTTCCTCACTTTTTTCATTTGTCACGTAGACCACAATCTGTCAATAGTAATTTTATTCGCTATCCTTTTCGGATGTGGTGAAACGCTTGTAAAAGTTTAGCTACGTAAAACTGTTCCTTATCTTTCGCTTACAGCCCTTCATCATGTGGTTTTTACGACTCCCCAAGTCGCGTAATCTTTGATGAAAGGGTGACCGGATCGTTTTGTAAATATTGGTATTCTTCGCCGTCGTTAAACTCGTTGGTCGAAGCGCTGTTCTGTTATTATTCGACATCGCCGCTTCATGTGTCCGAGCCGGACAATTAGTGCATCAGCCACAGGAGGCGAAAAACTTCAAGCCCCTAAAATCCCCTTGGTACTATGGTATCCCTGACGTTTGTACACATCACTCCCAAAACACGTCTACCTTACGCTTAGCACACATTGGAATTCCACGAAATTTCGCAGCCCGGGAAAGAGCAAAAACGTGTGAAATATTAAATAGGAATTTACGGAGGGAAAAGTGTTCATAACTCAGGACGGTTAATGTGTCATGCTGGAAACCATCGGAATGACAGACCGAAAATTTGAATTTGAATTGCCTTTGTTCGGCACCTAAAATACGACGCATTAAAGATAATTAAAAGAGAAAGATTTCTTCCTATGAAAGGAAAAATACTATCCGATGTCTTTAGAACAGGCGGATTGACATAGTTGCAAAATTGATCTACTAGACTGAAAATGGCACAGTTTAAAATGTATTTTGAAATGGCTTTGTCGAAGGCCCATTTGATCGTATTCATATGCTGATTTGTGTCATAGAAATTATAACTATTATCATCATTGTCGTCTAGATGGTATGTTTTGACTGTAACTTTCTCTTTGTCCAATTGCAGATGAATATTATAATCGCACCACTCGGGTGGTAACAAATCAGCTGCTTTATTTGCTTAACGATCCCAGCGTTAAACCAAGTGATGCCTGGAATCAGTGGATTGATGTGTGGAGTCAGTTTCCACTCGATGGGTTCCTACAAAGTACTTACGAAGCAGTCAAGACAAATGTTGAGAAAAAAGTCCCCAGGGAAAAACACAGCATCTTTGTGACAAGCCTCAAAGAACTCAAGAAGTACCTTCCTTGGCCTGAAGCCGCCCTCACTGCCTACTCTGTCTTCAATTATACACAGCAACTTGATCAAAGCCTGGTGCGATACCTCCGAGAACAACTGGGACAGTGGTGGTCACCAGACATGCACTGCATCAAAGGCGGGATGTCTTTGTTGCCAGAAGCCTTCACCCAAAAAGACAATGGAGGCTGGAATCCCGACGTTTCCCTTCACGATAAAATTCACTTTAACCGTACAGCCAATGAGATCATCTACAAATTTTATGAAGGTGATACTGAAAATAATCATGTGGTGGTAAAAGGCTACTTCAGCAACAGCAGACAGCCTTTTGAGATCGAAGGAGATGCTGTTATAGTGGCAACTCCAATCAACATTCTTAGACAGATCAAGTATACGCCCTCAGAACACACCGAGCGTCCCCCACAGGATTTCTACAAGGCCATAGAAGACATCTATAGCGGTCCAGCAACCAAACTATTCATACAGACTAAGACCAGATTCTGGGAGAAAGACGGCATTAAAGGAGGCTTCTCAAAAACAGATCTTCCAATCGGGCAGCTCCATTATTCAAGCAACGTCACTGGAGAGCATCCTGGAGAAAAAGGCATTCTGTTGGTTTATACGTGGAAGACAGAAGCCTTACTATTTGGCTCCCTGGATCCTACTACTGCTCTTCACGAGGCAGTAAAGCAAATAGCCACAATCCACCCAGAGATCAAGGACCAGGTTGAAACGGGAGCCGTCTGTGCATGGTACAACCAACCAACAGCTCAGGGAGCCTATGCCCTGCTCAAACCCACCCAATACCAAAACGTCCGGTACCTCATGAAATACCCCATGGCTAACATCTTCTTTGCTGGTGAGGGTCTCTCGTTTGCTTCGGGATGGATTCAGGGGGCCTTGGAGTCTGGTCTACGAGCAGCTTATCAGTTTTACATTCGCAACGAGGGCGGATGGTGCCCCAAATTGAAATGAATTTGCAGAACACTCCTAATTGATAATAGACTTGATAATGAACAATCCGTTTAAGCTAAATGAGCAATAGAGCATTTTCCTATTTAGTAAATAAGTTTTTGCCGAGCTCGACACAATGTTAGGGTACGGGCTTCCTCTAGTCTAGAAAAATTGGTAGTCGAGAAAATTAGGTAATTTTTTTTAAGCTTGTAAGTGATAAAACAAAATAGATTAAACACTTTGCTACAGCGGTTAAACCAGAGTGGTGTTTTTTCGTTGTTTTAATAATCGTTTTTTTTTAACTTATTCATTAAATTTTGACAGTTTACTCGCTTCGCGTTTCCACGACTAAAATACCCTCTTCTTCAGAGGCACTATGATACTAGCAGTTTCGGATCACTGATCCTGATCCGGATAATCCTAAAGAAACCCAACTTTAGAAAATCTTAACATTTTCTGATGTTTCACTGCCTCACAATACCTGGAGACATTTTGCGCCGATAAGGTCGATAACTCCAATCAAATTGATAATAATACTTTACGAATGAATACTCACATAGTAACCCGATACAATTTATTACTTTCAATTTCAAGTTTATTTTTATCGATTATCAATTTTATCGTCTTAACACGCTAGCACGTATGACATGAGGTATCCCAGAGAGCCTTTGATCTTTTAATCTTGTTCTCACATTACATTTCTTCAGTATTGTATGCAGTTCGATAAGAGCAAATATTTCTTCACGGATAGTATACAAATCCGCATCCACTATCGAGTGAATATACTCTAAGCTCTGAATGATTAGTATACAACTTATTATTAAAAAATGGATCATTGGATAATGCAATTCAAGACTATTTATTGGTTTAGCCATTATGGTATATATATGAGCCAATATACCATAATCTACGAATATGGCAAGCGTACGCGTCAGCTAAAAATTAAAAGGGAACGAAATAATAAGATTTGGTAAGATTTGTCTAATATCTTGGGGGCGTTTTTAATAAAACAATTACTCCACTCGCGCTTGTTGGATATGAAATGATTATAGCCAACGAGGCGCTACGCTCCTCGTTGGCTATCTATCATCTCATATCCAACGCGCGCTCGTGGAATAATTGTTAAATATCCAAGAGATTGGGTTGATCTACAAAACACAAGCCATGCTGAAAGCCGTCATGTTGGCCGGTAACCTATGTAGAATTTAATATTTTTTAGAAACGAGATATGCAAACAATTGAATCAAAACTTGAAATAAATATAAATTGCACCTGTCAACAATCTTTTCAAATACATCTCCATTTCTGATGAAATTAACACAAACCATTGCCAAAATAGAAATGAAATACTGTGATTTCTATTTACAAGAAAGAAAACTATTGCCTACAGAACAATCTGAATGCTGTTGGCATTGCAGTGAGACAAAAAAGCCCCTCACACTAGGCTAGTGGAATCGCGAAAAGGATGTGAGAAACGAAGATTACAAAAAATCGGCGAGGAAGCTTTACAGATGTTTTAAAAGCAGTGCAGCTTAGCGATCTACCATAGTCATGGGTCTCAATTATCAACTCATTGCTTCTAGATAAGCACAGGGATCGGGCATGCAAGCAAGCAGATGCATATCAAACCATACCCTCAAAATGAAAGCTTCATCATGGATAATGTAATTGAGAGCCTGGTCATCATATTGCCCGCTATTGAAACGCACAAGGATCGGGAATGCAAAGTAGAAGTTGCAAATCAAACCATTTCTTCAAAATCGTAGCTTTATCTTGGATAATATAGTAGGAAGCTTTACCACCACATCGCTTTTAGAAACGCACAGGAATTGGCAATGCAAAGTAATATTTGCAGATCAAATCACGTCTTCAAAATCACAGCTTTTTCTTGGATAATATATTAGGAAGATTAGTGAACTTAACTTAGCTTAGTCTAGAAACGCACTGGGAACGGGTATGCAAAGTAACACCGGATGCAGATCAAACCCCATCAAGCCACATTTAAGAACTACTATTTGACACAAACTTAATCTCATATCTCTCGAGATAAACAAACGGTCGAGAACGATTCGGTAACAAGGTCGTCTTGAACGCGCGGGAAAGGCGAAAAACACAAAAAGATAAAATACAGCTAAAGAAAAAATGGTGAACCTTACCAAAGAGACAAAACCGAGCAATCAAGAGCTATTGTGACAGAGAATGACTCAATATCAAATGATATCTAACAATGGAAATGTTTCCCGCCAAAATCTTCAAATGGAAAACACCTAAAACCAAGAGAATATCAACTGTCGATATTCTCTTCCAAAAACCCACGAAGTCAAAGACTAAAATTGTATTTTCAATGAAAGGGTGATTTGCTTTTACTCTGGGTCTCTGTTTGTCTCTATTGTACTATACAATAAAAGTATCCCTTCTTAACCCTGATGATAAGATTTAAATATATTTGCATGAAAGAGTCGCAGAGCATGAAAGTATAAGCTTGTCATCCTCCTTTCCCAGTATCTGTTAAAAGTAAGAAAAACAAAATACAGAAGCCAGGCCAAACCACTTAAGGTGGCTCGTACCGGTTTTCATCGTTTTGATGGTTTGTAACTTTGAAAGAATACAACAGAAAGACTGACCAAGGCCAGTTGAACACTTTTATGGGGTTGAATTACATAATCATTGGTTATCCAAAAATAAGTGTTATTTCGT